AAAAAAAAAGATAGATAAAACACTTAATAAGTAAACATTAAAAAACCAAAAAGGAAAAAGATCTGTATTTGTACGCTTACTTACTCTGTGCTAATATACCATGTATACATGTCATGACGATTGAAGATCGGGAAAGTATATTTAACACAAACGTCTATTCCCGTAGATTTTTTTATAGTAGCGTGACACTTTAAATCCAGAAAACATACTGAAAATATTTTTCTAATTAGAAATATTTTTTTGATAGTATTTATAGCTATGCATAAACTAATTGTAATTCAAATTTGAATGACAAAAATGAAAGATCAAGAAAGCTCACTGGTATTCAAGTGGTCGACTCAAATCTTTTTGTCTCTTGTGGGAAATCCTTTCGATGGCATCAGTATATACACACAATCTTAACGATAATGTTAATTCATAGATATAAGGAAATCAAGGGGGGTCGTCTCACTGTCATTTCAGCGGTCTACGGTCGGTTTTTACCGTGTATTTTGATTTGCCATTTTGAGCCGTCCGTAAACATAAAAGACAAGTAGTGTTCCCATCATACACTTCTTATCAATTTCCCAGAATTCAAAAATATTCTTAATTCAAAAATTCCTTTTTTAGTTCTCATATGAGTATATATCAAATAATCATAGGAATAATCGTAATAAGATTTAAAAAGAGGGGTGAAAGATACCAGAGGGACAGTCAAACTCATAGATCGAAAATAAACTGACAACGCCATGGCTAAAAAAAAAGAAAGAAACAACAAACAGACAGACAAATAATAGTACACAAGACACGACATATAAAACTAAAGGTTACGCAACTCGAACCCCACCAAAATTAAGGGTGATTTCAGGTGCTACGGAAGGGTAGGCAATTGGGAAGGTCTTGTCAGCAACACATGCTTTTTTACCTGAATAAATGAAGGCAACAATAGTATACCGCTATTCAAAAGACATAAATCGATTGAGAAAAACCAAATCCGGGGTGTAAATTTAAACGTAGGGAAACACATCAACTTCAAGAGGAAAACAAAGGAACAACTGAAACACTGAAGTGCAACAACAACGAACGCCAACATAAATAGAAACAAACTTTTTGATAAGAACTGCCATATTCCGGACTTAGTATAAGACATTTTAAGAAAAGATGGCTGGTTGAACCTGGTTTCATGGCTAGCCAAACCTCCCGATTATATTGCAATGTTACAAAATATCGCTAAAATTATAACACTACGTGACAGAAATATAGCATAAACAAACGCAGGAATACTCATTACGGAGAGTACACACAACCAAATAATATAATAGTCGTTACCACATGTAAACCGCAGAATAACAACGAACATAGATAAAGTTGAATACACGTTGGAATATAAAGTCAATCTAAAATTTCTTATTTTCCAGCATTCCATGAATGTTTATATATATATTTCAAATGTTACAAGACTATCCGTCCGTTTTCATGGTTTTTTGTTTTTTTTGAAATATCATGTTTAATAAGTCCGCCTTTGATTACATTATATTGATAAAAATCCACATTTCATAAAGAAAAATACTAGTATGCAATTTACATAGGTGTTTATATTTGATGGTTTATATTGAGGACGACTAGAATTTACAAATACCTGAAGGGATGACAAAAAGATTCCCTACTTCTACTTACGTCTATGTTATCGAATAATATACATTTTAATTATTTTCAATCAATATATTTTGAAAATATCGAACTTGAATATCGAATACCAAATAAAGAGTCGGACGCTAACTTAAAATACATCTGTAATGTAAAGTTTGGAATGCTTAAACATTATATACCAGACCTTTGAACTATCTTATCATACTACTTAAAGCGTATGTCTACACTCTGCTTCGGATGTGATTCTCTCAGTAACAAATTGTCCGACAAAAGTGGAAACGACTAAGTAGTAATATAACGCATGACATATATCAGGCGTACAAATCTGCGTTTATTCCACATTAATATTTAAACGTAGAAAACAAGAAGTTGTCAAAATTCCAAACTATTAATCACCTGTTTTGCTTTTTGAATGCAGTCAGTCAAGCATACAACTGAACAGGAAAGACTATCATAAATAACTAATTTTGTATAAATTAAGAGATTAGGTTATATTTTTTGTAATGTCCATAAGTTTAAAATCACCACAGCACGCTTATATATTGAAACAAGCGATACATTCAAAAATGGGAATATGTATGATAATAGATGCAAAATAAACAACAACATGTGTTTACCTTATTTCAGATTTCAGAAATTTAAAGTGTGTTGCTTTTAACTATTATTCATTTAAAAAGACATCCTCGTTGTATATTGTAAGCGATCAGATCTTAAACATGATAAACACCCACACGCGAGTTCAAACTACCGTTTTTTAATGTCATAATACCTGGTATTGCTATACAAAACGTCTGTATATTATCTGGTACATATACACGAAAGGTTTTTTTATTTCTTAGAAAGCATTTGATTCTTTAATGATACATGTGAAGGAATCATGTGTTCATACTTGTAAAACCCCGACGAATGAAGGATCATAATAACATGAATAATGTAATAACGCATATAATCTGAAACATACTATGTTATTCAATAGAGCACGCTTCTTAAAAAAAAATATATATTATTAGTTCATTGATGACGCTTGCCATCAAAATGTGAAATTCATTATCTTTACTTTATGGAATACATGAGGAATACATTTTCCCAAGATCCGTTGCATTTATGGCTTGTTATGGATTGTAAAGGGATATAATTCAAAGAAACGATCCGATCGATTTTAAACTAAACGGGTAGATTATAGTACTTTTATGTTTACAATATAATGTTAATGGGTACACATTTGAATATCGGTTAAGTCATATACTATAAAGCATGCTTAATCAATAAGCATTTAAATATAAAGACCCGACGTATTGTAATGTCTTTACATTCATTAAAAAAAAAAAAATAACACAGATCATTGGTATTTTATGAATGAAATCGTGTATGTTGGTTATATTAAAGAAGCATTACCATATAGCTGTTTAAACATAATACACAACACGTTGATGTGGTCCAGTTATAAGTTACAAGATATTCCTTCTCACTTTTATTGATTTGTCTTTAAGTGCATATGGTTTTGTAATATTGGTTCTCGTAGGCGATGTTGTAAGTCTTTAATAACATACACACAAACTATTATATTATTTAAACGAGGTACTTTGTTCGTTTTACATTAATCCAACTAGGGATTTACTCTGACAATTTCAATAACATGAATAAGTGATGAAAGGTAAAATAATCTAACTGCACACACAAATAAGAAGATGTGGTATGATTGCAAATTAAACCAGACTAAACATTACTTAAAACATGTAAAAGGTCCGCATACATGTGATTTTTGTTTTGTTTTAACTTCATATATATATATATATATTGATGTAAACATGAAGTGACTTTGAAAGAGATATGTGTGCAGACTGATTGGGATTACAATGATTTACAAATATCGTTCATTATTGGTCGTCCAGAAAAACTAGTGGCATTTGTATCTTAGTACAATGACAATCCCAATTTGATATCTTGTTGTCAAAAAGAACTAAAATGTCTTACATGATGAATAGGTTTTTAACAATAAAATGAATGGAAAACCAGAAATAACGTATGGAAGATCTTCAAAATAGACATGATGTTTAGGCAGTTTATCTGATCGTATGAAACATGTAAGGACCGGAGCAATTATTATATTCCTAATAGCCTATTTTTTAAATATAATTACATTCAATAAATATCAAAATGCTTATAATCTTTAATATCTGACTGAATTGCAATAGATTTTTCTTCTCTTGTCGTAATTTTGAAATATCAATAGAACAGATATCGATCGATATCATGCATAGATGATTACTAAAATTGATAATTTAAAACGAGGTTTCGTGCAAAAGCCTCTAATTTAATGCCATTTACTATAAATTTCTATTACATGCAGGTGTATTTACTTCCAATTTTATAAAAATTACAGGTGCTATCATGCATTGGGGCATTGTCTGTGACTACCTATCAAAGTTATTCTAACAAAAGAAAAAAAGAGGAGATGATGGTTAAACTGGAACAAAAATTGATGTCTGAATTGAAAAGACTGCAAACGGAAACATTGACTGAGTTTATAAGCAACGAGAAGAAACTTCTGAATGAACAAGCGGAGACAATAGAAAAAGAGAAGGCGACGTAAGCTGAATTAATAGAAAAAAGAAAGAAAACATTAACTGAATTGATAGGACAAGGAAAGAATACCTTAACTGAACAATCCGAAACGATAGCAATGGAGAAGGCGGCGTTTCTGCACTTCATCACACTACATAGGAACACACTAGACGAGCTAGCTGTATAGATGGAAAAAGAGAGAACAACATCAAATGAAGTTATAAGACACGATAATGAAACCGTATTTGACAAATCTGCAAAGATGAAAAAAGATAAGGAAACATTCAATGAATGTATAGTAAAAGAAAAGAATACGTTACTTGATCTTTTTGAAAAAGAGAAGGTACAGCTTACTGAATTGATCAGAGAAGGGGAGATAAATTTAACTGAACAAGCTGAAATGATAGATATAAACAGGTTAACATTGGGTCAATTCACCGGAAAAGTGGAACAAACGTTGAATAAACAGGCTGCATGTATGAAGGAGACGTTTATAGAATCCATAAGAAAAGAGAAGGAAACTATTTTTACCATACGAAAAAAGAGTTCGATATATTAACTGAACAGGCTGCTTGGACAAAAAAGAAAAAAAAAAACTTTAACTGCATTAATATACAAATAGAAGGAAAAGTTAAGCACATAATTATGCTGAAAGGATAGAACAAGTGAAGGATGACTGGGTTAAATCAGTCTAACAAGCGGAAGGAAAAGTGTCTGAAAACGCTGCTAAGATGAAAAAAGAGACCCAAACCTTAATCAATCAAACTCTATGGATAGAAAAAGTGAAGGATTGTTGGGTTGAATAGGTAATAAAAAAGGAAAACAAGTTAAATGAACAAACTGCACAGATAGAAAAAGAGATAAAAACGTTAATTGCAAAACCTAAAAGGACAGAACATAATGACTAAAATCTATGCATGAATTGATATGAAGATGGAAAAACAGATATACCTAAGCTGAACACATTTCAACTGATATCATTCCCATTTGAGTTTAGAGCCTTCGTTTGCTCTTTCTTTAATATACAGGTGTATCATTTTCATTTTTCAATGTATGTGTTGTTTCTACAGATGACAGTTTTGTTAATCCGTTGTACAGAAAAATGTTAAAACGTGTTAATTTCTCACTCGGTAAAGTTCAGAAATAGAACATTTACGTGATAGATAGTTTATAAATTATCTGATGCCTTATGGGTATATCAAAGTCAATTGCAAATTTTAAATGTGTTTGCCTCCTAATTTTATATAAATATACAGTTGAACCTTGGTAAATCTACCTCGAAAGAACCTGTCAGTACTATTGACCTGTCCAAGATGGCAATCTACATCATGTTTACCGTCATTTCAATGTTGAAATATGGATTTGTTAACCTGGTACGTTAATGTGAAATATATATTTTATTTTCCATTTTATGCAAATTGATAGCACTCTTAATAACAATTATCTTAATTTCATAAAATCTAGCTAATTAACCATATTACACAAGATCAGGAAAAAACAAAATAGAAGTAATTATCGGACCGAAACTAATCTGTGACGATGAAAGTATTACACTCCCTCCTTGATACTTATTAACTACTGTTTGTTAATTTCGAGTCTATTTGTATTAATAATTTATTTGAATAAAAGATAGTTTGCAGTCTTTTTAACATTGTCGTCCTCAGAAGGTTAATATATTTACAATGTGTTTGAACCCTAGTCTACAGTTCTTTGTCACGAATACATAAACATCACTTATAAATATTCTATGTTTTTAAGATCTGTTCCTCTAGGACGTTCGTTTAACTGTGTGAAATAATATAAATACTCTGTCGTGCACGATTTTCTTTGGAAGGGTAAATCAAGAGCATGCATTTTGAGTTTGATCATGTTGATATGGACACTGCATGCTAAAGAAACCAATCAAATTCATTTCATTCATATCTATATAAAGACCCATCAAAGATACCAGGCTTCATAATTCACATTCTACAAACCGTAAATGAAGAAAAAACAATCAATTCGGGTGATTGTCTTTTCGTTGTCTTTGTAGGAGATAATTTTGACCATGAGGCAAACAGTTTATATATTTGTAATGTACCAAAATACATTGATTACATCTAAAAAAAACATAGAGATATTTAAAAAATGGTAACAACACCTTATATAAATGTCATGCATTCGACGCGCTCCTGGATTCACCTTCACTAGGAACGCTCAAAGCCAAATATTTGAAAGGCAAGGAGTCAAAAGAACCTAAACAATTAAAGAGTAAATATGAACATATTGAGATGCTTAAAGTGTGCAAGGCACATGTTTCTGTAATAACGTCATGCGACTACGACATTAATCGAATGATTTGGAAGCAGCATTCTTTGAGCACCGAAGATTTTTGAATCGAGATCATAGAACTTCACGATGAACAAAAATGTAGAAGGAGTAGCATACACATGATCAAGACATTCGTGTTAGTATTAACTGACCAAACAAATGATAATCTTTGTTAACTTTATTGATGAGTTTCGAACAGCGGTATAATACTGTTGCCTTTATTTAACGACCGACGAATTTTTCTGGACGTACATACTCTAAATATCTTTCACTTGTTTTGTTATACGCTTTCTGGCCATAATATATATTTTGAAAACGATTCTATAATAGCCATCCCAGTAGTATTTCATGTGTTTTTGAGGGTTATAATTATGATCTGTCTTAAGTGATGGTGACGTAATAATTATTCAACTGTGTATTAAAATGCATACAAAACAATGTTTACAACAAATAACTTCTCAAATAGTTTTTTTTAAATCCAAAAGGTAAATATTATGAAATAAGAACTGTATATCCTAATACAATTTAAAGGTTCAATTATGAAATTTTGTTAAAACGGTCTAGTTTTATTCATTTAAATAATGAAGGTCGTATGGTGAGATATAGTTAATGTGCGTCATTTTGTCTCTTGTGGGGAGTTGTTGCGATGGCAATCACACCACATCTTCTTATTTTTCATTTTCACTCATTTTACCAAATTAAATACCTGAATGTGTGAATAGTTGAAACGATTCCTCGTATATTTAAATAGACTAGTAAAAAAGTACATTAATTTCACAACTCCTACTATTGCTTTATTAAATGAATCGTTGGAAAACGTTCAGGAATTGACAAAACCTGAATGAAAAGATCGAATTAATTAGTTCTTGAACGAGAATATCGGTTTCTGATTTATATCTTTTCCTTTGTAAATTTGGCTTATGTATAGACTTTAAATGAATGAAAATTCAAGTTAACTAGGAGGAACATGTTTCTGAGAACTTCCTATTATGCAACTGGTTTACATATATTTGTGGTTCAGCGCAGAACGCAGAAGACATATCAATGTATTTTTCACGATTATAGAACAACACACTATTTTGAACCATTGAAAACATGTTTTGTAATTATAGACACATAACGAAAGATGCATTTTAAAGTCATCCCACACACATATAGACGACTCTTCTATACTGTTGTTTAAAGAGCTTTGCCAGAATGACTTTTAATGAATTGCTTGTATACTGTTTCAATCAATGTAAATTTTGGCCACGATAAACATTCATATAAAATTTTAAATATTTTCCATGGCCACTAAATCCTAATTATAATTAAGTGCTTTATATAAATACGTTCACCCTAATTTTCTCATATGAGAGGTTGGGAAACGTCTTGTCCGATATACATGTTAATGTACGCAGTGTTCCGATGCATTATGAAACTGATGAATTGTTGAAGGTTGAGTTTCCCATACGAATTGAAAAGATATACGACAATATTAGATAATGTATCTTCTGTTTTCCAAGAAATACTAATGCAAGACTGAACATTTCTTTAGCAGGCTTAGCTTTCTGAACTTCAGATGCTAGTATGATTTACTTTAAATAAAATACATTATTTAAGACATGACTATTGTTTGGTTTTTTTTGTCGTTCCTTACTGCTGTCTTTCTATTATTTTTATATAAAGAACATTTACATTGAATAAAGTCTAAGAACGGAGGTGTTAAGAAACTGCCATTTAAAGTCCTATCACTTAAGAAACATTGTTTAAATCAAACACATTGATTATACATGTTATAATGATATTTTTCTAACTTTTAACAGTATTTCCATTGGTGTTCCTTACAAAGATTGAATAGAACCTTGGTTCTTTCCTGGACTTTGATGTATTCCACGATTCGATATTGACAGTTTCGTTAGAGCTTTCTTACATTTTGACGAAAGGTACGAACGAACGTAAAGGGAGCGCGTATTACATTTCCACAATAACAATTAAAAGTCTTTGTTTTATCCGGTAAAACAGCATTCTTTTCTTAATCAAATTTATCTTTCAAAAATAAGCATATCGCAAATAATACACGCTTTTAATATCCGAAAGTAAAGAAAAATAGTGTCAAATACACTTACGTCCGATATGTTACTTACGTAAACCACGATTACACACATTTTCACGGTAATTGTTCAAACACGAGTTTCACGATTAAAATTATAATGGCATTATTGAAGTACGTTAATCTAAATTTAACGACGAAGATTCACATTTATTTTTACTTTTTATGAGTACACTATCAGCAAATTGTCAACGTGGATCATCGAAATTTGCAAAACAAGGATACTACAATGTTTTGAAAAAGTAATGTGAAATAAATCTAGGAAAAAAAAGATTTTGTGACCAAGCTTGTTTTCTATTAATGTTATGTTAAATGTGAAAAAAGTAATGTGACTCTTGTGATCGCATGCAACACATGTGAAACTATAACTATGATAAATTATTGCAACTTTTATGTAATATGAAAGTTACAAAGTTCACACTGTTAAACAGGCATTAAATGGCTAAAAAAGAAGAAGAAAAAAAAGTTAACTTCAAATGGGGTAGGAGGTAATGTTTTTTTGTCCGAGTCAGAATGTTTTGACTTAGTTTTTCGACGCTATCAATCAAATTATTTGTTTTCCAAATTGTTTACACTATTAGGTAAAGGGAATATCTGGAATCAGAATTTTTGTTGTAAACTGCTCGACCACAATATTTTTTTCGTCAAATTCGGAATGAGAATATTTTTTTTAGGAAAAAATGATAATCCCCTTTAAGTTAAATGCTCGTTCCCTTACACTCAAAGCAAAAACCAAAAAAGCTTCAGTTTTTTTGGAAAATTAAACCGTCTCTCTCTATATCTGACTTAATTGTATATAACAGATTAAGGCAAAGATCTAGAATTGGAGGCAAGGAATGTGTCTGTTAAGTAGAGGTACTCTGGTGCGCCTCACTCCTACATTTGCCAATGAGCTTCACTTATAGATCAACTAATTATATACATGTAGATCTTTTTGTTCATTTACATACACATTTTAACACCTAAATGTATATCAAGAATCTACAATTTTGTATCATATATATGCCAGTGGCTAATATTTCATAAATGTTCAGGATCAAAATGCAATTATACGCTAAAATAACGGTTTCATAGGAGTGTCTAACTCCGGTGTATGGACACATAACAAGGTGACAATGAATGTTACCCAAGGAAAGGCGGTGATTCACAAGTAAATAAACGAGCACCAGCATATGGCATAATATAAAGGTCCTATTTTTTTCATCGTTTTTATTATTTTGGGCGTTGCAAAAAATAAATTAAGGATGTTTTTTTTTTTTTTTTCTCTTTCTGAGGGAAGTGGACAATGTATTTGCTATGGTATTTTCTTAGGTTATATAATGCAACATTGTAATATTGTTTTGGAAAACTGTGGAAGGGGAAAGTGGGGGGTGGGGGGGGGGGCTCTTTTTTTAGGGATATTTTATTCATCTGACTACCTTATATTTAGGATATTTTGTAGAGTTATCTCCTTTCACCTGGTGGTATTATATTTTTACCTATCGTGCGTCCCGAAATCCTATATCTCACGTCAAATATAATTTAATGCAGGATAATGGTCCTTACTAGGCTAACATTAGGGTGAAATGCCATCGAAGTTCCATGACGATTATTTAAATATGCAAAAATAAAGGATCCCTAAAACGAGTATTACGTAAGATTTGTCAAGCGTACGTACCTTTTGTCAAATTGTAAGAAAGCTCTATTAACTTTCTTTGATATGGTTTTGCTTATGATATCAATTGCGATGTTTCATATGTTTTATCTAGCGATATATATTATACGGTGTTATGGCGAATGTATTATATGTGTATGTATATGCATTCAATGTAATATTTTCAACAAATAATTCAATAAAGTCACATTTTCAAAACAGAAAAAACAAAAAAAAGGTAATTCAATGTTCAGTGGAAAATATGAACTGCAGAAAATAAATCAATTTAAAAATCAATTCAGAAATTGTAAACAAATAATTGATCAAAACGATTATGTATTCAACACCCTTTAAAAACTTCCAGGAATTCAAAAGTAGATTTTTTTTGTAATTCAAGGAATAAATAAGCATATTCATATGTCAACGGGAAGATCTTTTTTTGATATTTTTCCTTTAGAAATTCTGTATATATTTATAGAATTTAAATGAATGATTAGTAATCCATTGACATGTATTAGGTGAAACACGCTTCTCAGAACTATGTAGCGTGTTATTGGTTTAATTTGTGTGTCACTTCACAAGTCTGACGATATATTTCATTATATATCTGTATAGAACAAAATGCGTTTCTTGGAACCATTGAATAATTTAAGACTTATTAATAGGGTTGAATTTACTTAAGTCAACATAAACATTCATGGACGACTATTCAATAAAGATGAGGTTTTATATAATATTCGTGACAGAATACTAAAACAGGTATATAACTTACCTAAATGTTTATGTATAGCTCATAATTTTACGTCAATGACTTAAAAGTATAAATATTATAAAACAATATATATAATTTTTATACTAAATGTACAATTTACTCTGTCCTACAAAATATGTAAGTGTTTATTCATATAAAGGAAGTAATTACTTTTGAATGTCAATATTGGTTGAAAGTACCTACTAAATTGCATGTTATATTGGTGATTTCGAATCTGTAGGAAATTTTAATTTTCTACCCTATATACCACTTTGCCTCACATATGTCATAATCTTATTTAAAAAATCACAAATCCGATTAAATGGACATTTAAAAAGTCAGAATGCAAACAGATATGTTCAAGTTTTTTTATGTCATTTTTAGTTACATCAAACAAAAGAACTATGTCAATTGGACCGGCTTCGATACCATAACTGCAATTGAGTTTTTACTAGTTATTTTTTTTTGTTCCCTATGGAAATTCCGTTTATCGTCAAGTTATAGAAATAGTAATGGGGACTTACTGTGCAACACCCGTTGCGGACATGTTTCTGTATTGTTAAGAGTTATAATTTATGACTAAATTTAGCAAAGACCAACATTTGATACAAAAATTTAAAAACACCTTTAAATATTTGGATTATATAATAAGTTCCAATAATTACGACTGTATTGTGTACACTAAAGATATATTTCCTGCTGAACTAACATAAAAGAAGCTAACATTAACAAGGTACACTGTCCTTTCCTCACTATTTATATTTGTATCTTTAACGGTAAGATTAGTACTAACATTTACGATGAAAGAAATGATTTTTCAATTCCTATTTTTAATTATCCATTTTCAGTTCGTGACGTTCCCTTGTTTATATATCCCAACTTCGATCAGCTCATGTATGTAACAATGTATTTGATTTTAACGAAGGGAATCTCTGTATTATTGAAATATTAGTACACCATAGGATGATTGGTTTCGATATCACAAACATTAACTAAATTGTATCATCGATACTTTAAGATAATTAGTACATATTGTTGAAATTCACCTCAAAAGCTTACCAAACATTTAAACAGCTTTACCAGTTGTTTGCATGATATTTGGTCTGTATTTCTCATATATCTTATGATGGTATGATATTTTACATCTGTTGGGAGGGATTGTTTTTGATTTTCATATCAATCAGTTTGATTTAGGTCTGGAGCTGGTCTGTCAGTAACTGCTTCTAGCCCTTTGTAAATGATTGCATCATTGTAATGTTGCGGATTCAGATATTCAACTTCCGCATTTTATCTTACAGTTCGTACAATCAGATCTTATTCCATAGCTAATTTATATGATTTCAAAGTTTATTATTTAGTTGATAAGTTGGTTTCAAAATGTAGTGGCCAATATATCAAAGATTTTATGGACAATGTCACAACGTAAGTGTTTTTCTATAACATGTTTAACTGTCATTCAAACTAACATGGCCAGACATCATTAGTTTTTCCAATGCAATTTTAATTTAAAAATCTCTACCTTGTCATGACGACATATATTTTTTTTCATTTTTTAACATGTATGATTATGATGATAACAATGATGTGCTCTCATAATGTTAATTAACATTTACATGATATAATCTTCGTGGTTTTGTTGCAAATCTATTCCTTGTCATGACAACATATATTTTGAATTTTTAAAACATGTATGATAACAATGTTTTGCTCTCCTATTAGTTGATTAGTTGACATAAACATGATACATTCTTCGTAATTATTTAATTTTTATTCTTATTTTTAAAAAACCTTCTACGACTATATTTGACTCTATGTTGATGTCGTTTATATGTTTACGCCTTGGATATAAAGGGAATTCTACGCAAATTGCACGCTGAAGAATTCTACTATAAATTGCACGTTAACCTGGTTCCAAGTCAATTACCGCACTATCTAACTATTTGTTGTCAAGTAACAGTCTAAATGTCCCGCTTTTTGTCTCCATTGTTCCACCTGTCAGAACCTACATGTACGTATTGTTATGATGACTTATTATTTCACGCTCTATATATTTATGAAATAGATGCAACAAAACATTAAGAAATCAAGCACTAAATTAAATATAAATGTAAATCAATCAGTTTGTAATTTTATATTTTATTTTACGACTAACAACACATCTGTTTTCAAGAAAGATAAAAGTTCTTCCCGTTTCAGGTATTATCATGGATCGGTATATCGTTGGTTACTACGTTTCGAAGTTTTTTGTTCAAATCATCTGAGCTAAGAAAAGAAGAAGATGGTCTTACTAATGATAGAAGAGAACGGTTCAAAAGTTTACTATGTTCATCCGAGCCGACAACAGAACAAACGTTAATAGATTTGATAAAACATGACACGAATAATTTGTTGAAATGGATCAGAGGAGACATCCAAACAATACCTAAATGGATGAACGGAGACGACCCAAAAATACCCGAATGGACGAAAGGAGAAACAACAACATTACCTGAACCCATGACGTTTCAAATGGTATCATTTAATAGAAAATCATCGTTGGTAACGTTCCGAATTATAGTTTTGCAAAACCTAACGGTCGATATAGAAACGTTAATAAAATGGGTTGGAGAAAACGAAAACATGTGTACTGTGTGTACCGAAGAAGACAAGAAAACATTTAGAGAATGGATAAGTGACAATCAGCAAACGATAACGAAATCGATCACAAAAGACTCCATGACGTTCAATGACATGATAAAAGGACTCGACAACACATTAGACGAAAAGACTAAACAAGACATCAAATATTTAACAGGAACGAAAGGGCGATCATCCTTTAACACGTACAGACATTATCATATCGTTTTATCAAAAACAAGCAATAAGAACACGATGACTGAAATTGGAGCGAGGTAACTGTTTAATTCCCTTCACTTTGCATTACATAAAATTTTGTACATGATGTTTATATGGCCATTTGATACATATACATGTTGTTAATATGTTTAGTATATTTTCCAATTATTCAGTTTCGTTTGAAATAACTTTACTTTAAATTTCAAATTGAAACTGGTGCAATAAGTCGTGTATGGTACTTTTTATTACCCCAATAAAATCAACACAACACATTTGTCTTCAATATTTACAAATACTTTTGGTATAGTGGACGGTTTTTGTGAACAAGATTGCAAACATAACATGCGAGATTCAATGAATCCAAAGATCATTTCGACCATTATTAACCACATTAACCTCCTGGTTAAGGACAGTTTAAAACTAGTTATAGGCAAATATGTGTCATGAACATTTCTGATATTGTATTCTCTATTGACCTATTGACATAATAATACTGCTGTCCTTTAGATATGCACAGATGTATTTTTAACCTTGTTTGTTTGTTAACTAATACAAGAGAGGTTTCCAAGTCCCTTGGGCAAAGTTTCCTTTCGATGAGTTTGACTTTTTGGTTTGATGTTCAGAAATATGACAGTTGTTGTCCATTCGTTTGATGACTTTGAGCTTTTGATTTTGCCATTTGATTAGGAACTTTCCGTTTTGAAATTTCCTTGGAGTTCGGTATTTTTATGATTTTACTTTTTTAATAAGAAATACTATAAATTGAACGATGTAAAAAGGGCAAACAAACAAAATATATCATCATATGTTTGTTTTTCACAGAAAACCGTTTCGAATGCTTCAAAGTACAATAGTGTTATTTTATTTTGTTTCCTTATTTTTCTTTCACCTTTTACAATAACGAATCATTTAACCTGATTATTGACTCTATATTAAAAATTGAATAATAAGAAAATTGGTCAGATTTTCACTGATAAATTTCTTTTTTTATTTACAAATTGAAACTGTACATCTCACCAGTTCACTTTGTTATATATGTTATACATGTACATAAAAATTAATCAAAATCACAAATCAAACAATATGTTCACGTTTTTTTATAAAAATTACCCCAAGAAAACAAGCCGTCCATATCTATTTTTGTTTTATGATTTATTGATATGCATTTTAGGAATTAAACGATTATACACGATGTGAAAGTGTGTTCTGTCATTCAAACCAAGTACTATTAGTTTCCAAATTTAGAGATAATTCAAAAATTTTGCGTTTGGTTGAAACGCTAGTTCTGTTGTTTAACGTTGTATTCTAAAGTTATATCTTTGTATGTGTATATATCGTATTGTCAATATGCAGACCGACGTATACATCTCATTCCATGTTATTGACCTACTTGCCTAGCAAACACATTCCACTCTTGGGCTTGTATTTATTTATATGGAATGCACAGAAACAAATTTGTAAACGGTAACATCAAATCTATAAGAAGCAATAAAGAGTACCAAATTACAGCATTTAATAAAACTCGAGGTAACACTTCGGTGATTGATATAAATAAGAAGATTGGGTATGAGTGCTAATAAGAAAACTCGCCATCAAAGACACAATGTATACAAAAGCGATTGTTTGCCAAAATCACAAAGTTATTGTCGTTTCGAAAGCAGCAAAACGTGCTTGTTTCTTTTCATCGTTCATTCACATTTTATATTATACTTAAATTTTTTTTTCAATTTGCATATAATAATTGTCAATTAACCAACAAATGAAATACTATTTTGTTTATGTTCTATAGGGCCATGTTTGAACCAGGATGTCCATCTGCTTTAAATATAACTTCAACAAAAGTTGAATTAAAATGGGACGAACCAAGTGTAGGTGCTGATTTTATAGACTTTTATAAGATAATGTGTGAGGAAAAACGCATATGTGTGACATGTTTCTTTGAAACTCCTGGAAGTTCTTGCAAGTATGTCGTAGAAGGATTAAAACCCAACACTGAGTATGCATTTACAATTCAAGCAATCAAGAAAGGGGGAAATAAAGGAACCGTCAGTCAAACGTTTACAGTATCAACTTTGGAAATTACCTTCGATCGAACTGCCGAGTTATTATATGTTTTGTTTTACATTGCAGTGTTAATATGGTTCACGTACTTATTTTGTTATACTGTGACTACAACATAAATGACTTGTGCCACTATTTGTACATCTTTCATTATTCGGGAGAACATTAAACATGTCAAAGATAGAAAAATAATAAAATATTGTATTTTTCAACAAGATTCGACAAGAATCAAATGCGTGATTGTTGTTTGTAATTTGTCAGCTGTAAAAAAAATGGTATATTCTTTTAATGAAATTATCTTGATTTAACGTATTTAGTTTATTTTGTCTTTTATTTTTTTAATCCTTAGTATTTCGGAAACTTGAAAGGATGTTCATACATTTTATTTTATTAGCCGTACAAAATAGCAAATATCGATACTTTCAACAGTTAAAGATGGCTTCAGCAACTAACAGTGTTTGTCAGATGTAGATGTAGCATTGCTACTAATCATACAGATTATCTGTAAAATGTGCAATCCTTTTCGAAAAGCTTAAGGCAAAGTTCTTTAATTCAACTTTAAGATATCAGATTTCATGAGTGCTTATATCTAAAATATATCAATGAACCTGACATAATTTGATATTGTCAAATACAGAAGTTCTGCTTCAAATAATGATCTTTTCTTTGATAATGACTCAGTTGGACGACTTCACACATGATAATTTCCACTTTACAATTGTCGTCAAATTTCTATGTCTTAGCAGTATCATACAATCTGTACCATCTGTCCCATCGTATGGCGTTTACATATCTTAGTTGAAAAGTTACGGACATGTATCTTCAAACTATACGGGTTTTATCAGTAGAGGTTTGATTCTTACCCAAAAACTTGTCCTAAAGAGGTATGAGGAACAGACTTACTCAAACATGTATATGCATTGAGATGTAAAATTTGAATCAAGATCTTATAATTATTAATTGTTTTAAATATTCTTTTCTTTTATTGAATGTTGTCCATTCGTTTGAGGTGCTTGAGCTTTTGATTTTGCCAATGCAGATTGTGTGTGATTTTTAACGGGACGGCTATCTATAAAGAATTATAATATTACATAGATCAGTTATTCATTATAAATTTTGTTGTAATTCATAAAATGTATAGAAAGAAGCCCCAGTCGACTTTCGTTCTACTTCAGAAATATTTGTGGAAACTGTTTGCCAATGACGCAGAACATTCTTAAAAGTCAATAGTTTATAAACGAATGGAAAACAAATGTCATATTTCTGACTTGATACAAAGATTTCCTTATGTGGTGGATAAGACCTGTTCATATAGCTAGCTAAGCATCTCACTTGCATTATAAAAACTTCAATATAACAACACTGTGTGAGCAAAAACAGAAAGACATAACAGTTAACTAAGGAAAAAATATAAGTATGTAATGCACTGAGATTATGCTTATTTTGTATGAGCAGCAAACGAAAATGTGAAGTACATAGAACAGCTCAAATTGTGGAAGTTCGAATTCACTTAAGGGTTCACATTTGTTTTACTAGGTATGATGGTGGAAGTTTTTAACGACCTTGACCGGACATACAGCCCGTACACGCTAGGTAGATTAACTGTATACCCAAATCTTGGATGTAAAATAGTAGTTCCAAGTAAATCCAGTTCTTTGCTTAAATCTGCAAATGTTGAAATAGATTGCGTATTATGGGTAAAAGTGTTTATTTGAATAATTCGGACTGCTTTATCAAGTACCAAATGTTTGTGTTTATTTGAATCAAAATTGTCATATCAGCCATTAAAGGGGCGATAACTCAAAGTGTAAAAATTGTTATGATGAAAAGATTAGGAAGTCGTCCACTTTTAATTTTAGCAAAAAAAAACAAGGTCGGTGAAACCATGTTTTCTTTTTATTTTTTTAAAGAATAATCTAAAATCTATCTTTTCATATTTCATCGCAAAATGTTTTCTTATAGATTTTTTTTTTGACAAAAAAGGTGATTTTTCAATAACAATCTATGCAAATTTGAGCAATTTAGCATGCGTGTTGGATTGAAAAACAGCACGGTGACCAACTCTTGGTATTATATTTTTGAAAAAAGCCTGGAAAAATCTACATCCTGGTAGAGTATAAAAAAAAAAATTCTGAGGAAATATATACCAATGATCCACTTTAAGCATTAACAAAATGTTTAATTAAATTCATTTTTATTCGTGTCGTTTAACTACTAGTAATCATTTCATTTGTAGTTTAAATACACATATCATCTGGAATACAGTTTGTGATATTTCATTTATATTCCTAATCAATTTTAAAAATGCAATAAACCAACATGTAAAGATAGATGACTGCGTCACAATAACCTTTAACAACATTGATTTGTGTATGCTGTCGTCCAATGCAAAATGAATTTTGGTAAATTTTGTTACGTTTGTTACATAGTCTTTCGAATTAACATTTTTCTTAAATCATTTTTCGATAAAATGTATTTCAACTGCTGGTGCCTTGCATTTTTTTTAATCGTGATGTTGCGTGTCCTTTGACATATTATTATATAAATAACACATAGCTGAGAGGGTGATAGAGCAGATTGTTACCCCGTGTAAACATTGTCAACTGAGGCGAGGCCAAGGTTGACAATGTCTTTTCGAGGGGTAACAATCTGCTCTATTACCCTCTCAGATATGTGTTATTTAATTTATTATACTGAATGTTCTGTGATTACTGTAGATTAAATTTTAAATTCAAAGTAATAAACTATGACGTCTTGTACATAACAACCATCCGTATTTAATAAAGCGCACACTTGATCAAGCGTCTCCGTGAAGGGTAATAGAGTATTTGCCATCTGATAGAGTCGTATTTAATAAAGCGCACACTTGATCAAGCGTCTCCGTGAAGGGTAATAGAGCATTTACCATAGAATAGAGTAAATTAACACCCTCGTATAAGCCAATCAAAATATTGCATTTTTACGTGAAGTATAATAAATTTGATTGTCATATTATGATTTTCATTCAAAGAGTTTTTTAATGTTTTTAATCGATTGAATATGAATATAGTGTATAAGATAACTTGATATTTCAGAAACATTTTCTTAGGTGTAATGATCCCTTTAAAAACTAACAACATGGTTTTTTAAACAAAGCAATGTGTCGTTTAAGAAATATACACTTCGAAACAACATTGAATTTAAAAGTCTAATTCGACAGAAGTATAGTATTCAATCTATCTATATTTCAATATATACTCATGTTACCCCATCAGACACCTAAAGATGTATCAACAAGCGATGTCCAGGAGAAAAAGAAAGGTATATTTCAGCAATTGGTGTTGCTATTTGTGTCATTTGAACATATTAAGGCACACAAAACCGATATGTAATAAGGAAGATCTGACCGTTGTAATTTCATGTAAGCTTTTTATAGGATGTCTATTAATGAAAAATGGGGAAAAGTGGACCATGCCTAAAGCTCTTTCCAAAAAATCAAAATGAAACATATTTCTACAACAACGCCCTTTTGTTTATTTATAATTGTTTTATCATGTTTATAGGTTCGTAAGAAAAACAATCATGAACAAAATTTAGTGCGCATCAAATGCTCTTCGGTTTAGAGGTCACATTCCCATCTCACACGCTCGCGAAATATATAACAGAGGTGGGGGGGTGATATTTTTATACAAGTTTTGAGGAACGAAATTCTATCGAACAGAATGAGACAAAAAAAAATCCGATGGATATTTTTGATAGTCTACTTTGAAATTCAAAAGAAATAAAACAAAATCTCATCATTTAGAAAAGATAAAAATCAAGCACTAATGCTACGTGTATTTGCGAGTAAATAATAAGAATTAATGAAACCAACAATACAAGAAAGTCTGACAGTCCTAAACTGCGTTTATCTGTGGCTTTGCACTATGGAACACATGGCTGCAGGTTTCACAATTCATCTTGCAATCAGCCAACTATTATATAAATAACAAAAACAATAGATGTTCATAGTCAGATATATTACACTGACTTGTTCTTGTACGAAACTAGCGAAAAGCTTGATGAACCTCGCTTTTCGTCCTGTTATAAAGTTCATTTAAAGTTCTTAAAATAGATTTTATATTTTTATATTGTAAATCTAGTTATCTCCCATCTACCTAAAAATATATGAAACTCTGAAGAGAAAGAAAATAATCACATTACTGTATAAAACATTAAATAAGTCGTATGACTTAAAAAGATACATTATATGTTGTATTCCTTATCTCATTGAAATAAAAGTAAGAAGATGTTATTTTCATATTAATTGTCTTCATCTAACTATCACTTTTACTGCTTGTTCCAGTAAACAGTCATAATTTTCCAAAGGTGCAAATCAGAGGAAGTTGAAAATCCAAACGAGAACAAGTGAACAAAGGAGTTGATAGACTTAAGTCTTCCAAATAATCAGTTGCAAGTATTCCATGCATATTCAAGCCTGGAACGCACAAACAATGTGATCGATAGATTTGAGTCTGCTACATTTTTAGTGTCAAGTTCATGTAGTGGACGCCTATGCAGAACTGAATAAAATCAACAATTTTATTGATAGATTTTGGTCTGCTAAAAAATGCAGTAGCAAGTGTTTCATGATATCTAGGACAAGACTATATTAACATTGTGATTAAAAGACGCAAGTCTGCAATAAATCCGACAGAGTTTGAATGACGAAAAGGGAAGCAATCATAGGTCACATTACGGCCTATAACAATGGGAAAAATCCACACCATATAGTCAGTTAACTTATAAAAAGCCCCGACATAAATTAGAAAATTTAGAAAACTAACGGCCTAATATATAAATAGTACAAATACAAAAAAAAACAAACAAATATGACAAACATGAACCAGTGACATCTACTGAAATACGTGCTCATTGGCAATAATATAACATCTTCCTTTTTTTTCCTTTTTTCGGTTTGTACAGTCATATAGTTTCCCCATTCCAAACTAAAAGACAAATTGAAAGAGTTGGTATTGCTTTATTTCATAAAAAAGAATGGCGAACGTAGATACAAGTATCTTGTCGTGGGGGGGGGGGGGGGGGATACATTACTCTGATTCAAACAAAGAATTCTCTGAAACTGACCTTATCAAGACGCTTGTTTTCTTGATTGACAAAATATTTGTTACGTTTGGAGGACGTGTTTTTCATCAACTGTCGGCATTCCAATGGGAACCAATTGTGCGCCTTTTCTTGCCGACTTGTTTCTTTATTATTATGAAGCTGACTTCATACAGGAACTTCTAAGGAAGAAAGATAAGAAGTTAGCTATATCCTTTATCTATAC